CGTCCCACAGTGCCATGCGGTCTTTACGGGGACCATCACCATCCCCTTCAAGAGGCCTGTTTTCTCGCCTGGTTCCAGTCAGGAGAAAGCTGGTGTGGGCTTAGTCCGTGTCGGGATGGAAAATGAGGGCTTGTGCCGCAGTTCTGACCGCAAAGAGGAGTTTTTCCTTTTGCTTCTCTCATGGGCCAATTGAAACTTTTTAGTTGCTCCTTTTTCATCCATGGACAGGGAAGCAAGCTGGAAGATGGGTTATGCATTCAAATATAAAAGGACTCTATCTAGAATGATGATGAGCTATTTGGGGAAAGCCAACCAATATGCCTATAAATATTTAACTCAGTACAGAAATAATGATTGAGTCTCCACTGCACTGATATTTTTTTATATTTGATTAGTCTCTTACTAAACACTTACCTATTATTTCATTTGATCTTTACTATAGCCTTGGGAGGTAGATAATATTATCTCCAGTTTCACAGATAAAGGAAGCTGAGATGAATACACAGCTAGCAGGTGGTGAAGTCATGTCAAATGTAGAAATCACTGATTCTGAAGTCCATTTTTTTTTTACACCACACCACTCTGCCTAGCGGGCTCTCAAGGATGCACAAGGAAGAGCAGACACAGCTTTTACCTTCCAAGGAGGGGAAACAAGGTATATCAGTTTTCCAGAAGAAAAAATTGTATTAATTAAGATAGCTATTATATATAATATCAATATATTAAGAAAGATAGGTAGAGTTATTTCAATGAATTGGCTTGTGCAATTGTGGAGACTGGCAAGTCCAAAAACTCTGTAAAGCAGGCCATCAGGCCAGAAACTCTTGGGCAGGAGCTGAAGCTACAACAGTTTTGTTCTTAAAGCCTTTAGACTGATTAGATTAGGCCTACTCAGATTATTGACGATAATCTCCTTTACTTAAGTGAACTGACTGTAGATATTAACCACAAATATAAAATACCTTTGCACAGCAACCCCTAGGTTAGTGTTGATTGAATGACTAGGGATTATAGCCACGTCAAGTTGACACTTAAAAAACACCCAGGGATACGTGTTTCTAGATTGAGCCATGCCACCAAAGGTGAAGAAAACCTTACGTGGAAATGTAACAGTGCAGAATTGTAATCCACCCCCCTTTTCTTTTGACATTGTTTCTGTAAATGCCAACTCTAATATGTAGCTTGTAAGATAAACAGTGTGTTTGTATAAGAATCCTTCAAAAGAGCCCTGGCTGGTGTGGCTCAGTGGATTGAGTGCTGGCCTGCGAACCAAAGGGTCACTGGTTTGATTCCCAGTGCAGGGCACATGCCTGGGTTGTGGGCCAGGTCCCTGGTAGGGGGCGCACGAGATACAACCACACATTGATGTTTCTCTCCCTCCTTCTCCCTCTCTTCCCCTCTCCAAAAATAAACAAAATCTTTTTAAAAAAAAAAAAAAAGAATGCATCAGAAGATACAAACTTGAACCTTCAGTCACCCGAGCTCTAGGAGATTTGCTGACCTTCAACCATAAAAGCAGGGCGACATAAAACCAGGATGACAAAAACCGGGATGATACATATCAGACCATCGTTTGACCAACGTCGAGGTTCTTATTGGATTGGATTGTGCAGGGCTGCACATAGAGAACTTTTCAACCCCTGCCCCTTCCTCTCTTTGTTTTGCTCTCCCTCTCCCTCCTCAGAAAAACTCCTGCCTACACTGAGATGTGAAGATGGGCATTGAGACAAGAGTCTGCCCATCTTTGCAGACTGCTGGCATCTGAATATACCTCTTTCCTATTCACCACCCCCGTCTCACGAGTTTGGCCTCCTTGCGGCGGGCAGCCGGACCTGCGTTCATCTCCAGAAAGAGCTACTCGATGTCAGGCAAACTGCAAGGGGCCCTGCTCACCCACCCCTGAGGACAATTCAAACTGCTCAGGAACTGGGAGAAAGGTGCTCCAAACACCCGTGCTCCCCTTCGTGAACTTTTAGCTAAATTGTAGCCTATGTGTCCTCACTGGAGAACTGGCAGGAACACTAGAGAAGCTTCATATTTCCAGAGGATGGAGAAATGGTTTGTCACTATGTTAACAGAGCGGTTGCGGCTTCCATACACAGGGGAACCTTGGTTCCTGAATTTAATTCATTCTGGGAGGCTGTTGGAGAGCCGAATTGTTTGAGGTGTGAGACGTTCAAGAACCAAGGTTTGACTGTAATGACAAGACAGAAAATGCCACATAACCTGGGCTTCCTCCTTTCTTCCACTGCCTCTGATATTTTGACTCACAGAGTAGAATCCCAGAACCCCACCTCTGGCAGGGTCACGGCCCTCTCCTGTCCGCCATCCGCCAGCCCCCAGAGACCAGCCCAGTACTCTCTCCCCCTCATTGCTCTGTTGTAGCCCAGTCCTCTGCTCAGTGGCGATGCTGAAGGCACAGGTCACTGGCACAGAAGGAAGGCAGGTGTCTCTTTTGAAGCCCAAAGCAGCAACAGGGCTGTCTTCTTTGCCAAAAGTTTTGGGAAAGCCATTAGAATGCCTCTTTTCCTATGCTGTTTGAGCCCATCCTTGTGATGGGGGACTGGGGGTGAGTTCTTCCATCGTGGAGGGTGATGTCTCCTCTGCGAGACTCTTAAGGTGGCTCTTTGGGACTGTGTCTCGGGTGGGAGAGGATGTTCAGATGGAGAGGAGCCTCTGTTAGTTACACTGTAGAGACGATCATGACACACCAATTCACCTCTCTGGGAGGCGCTGGTCATTAGGAGCCTTATAAAGATAGAGAGGAGGAGGGTGTAGCAGCAGCAAGTACATGGGATCACCCCTCTTGACCCCCTACCAGCTTCCAAAAGGCAAGGTGGGTGCATAGCTTTGAGTAACAGTTGAGGGAATTTAGATATTTCCGGAAGCAGCTCTGGTCCGAGAGGAAAGGTCTCCCTGAGCTGTTTCTCCTGGAAGCACGGTGCGGGGAGGGGCTGCTCACCTGTGCGCTCTTCACCACTCCAGCCACCTTCTTCTAAACGCAGTGACCCACCCATGTGCAAGGCCTGGAAGGCTCACCTTCTCACCCCGGCGGCAGCTTCCGTTGGAGCAGATTCTGCCTCTCTCACTCATTTTCAGCATCGCACATTTATTCCAGCCCTTTCTTCCTGGATGGTGGAAAGTCCTCCAGCTGCCAAAACTGGCTGTGAATAGAGTTTTAAGAAGAGGTCATGGGTGCAAATTGATGTGTGGTACTCCTTGCATAGTTCCTGCAGTCACTGGGATGGGAAAGCATCATATAACCTTAATGTTTAACCAAGGGGGAAAAAAAGGGACCAGATTGGCTTTGAGAGACCCAATGTGTAACAAGGGGAGTTAGGTCATAGAAGAGAAATCACCTTCTGCTAACTGCAAACAAATCAGGGAAGCCTTGCCTGATGTTAACGACCTTGTTTTGAACTAGTGTTTTCACCAGTTAGTTTTCCTTTTAATTTTTTAATTCACTCCTCCAAGCTCTGTCACTAAGTACTGCTCCAAAACTCTCATTCTTCTACTGACGGATAATGCTCCTTTCACATGGTCTTATGTATGGCTTCATTGCAGAGAAGATGGGGGGAGGGTTGGAGAGAGTGGGGGGCTCTGGCCTCCAGGGTTGTGAGTGTGGCGGGAAGGGATACAGAGGAGGAGAACCTGGCAGACATCCACTGCCCTTGCGAGCCAGCCCATTTCTTCTGGGTCCAGAACAAAGCCAACACACCTGCTGAGGTTGGGCCGCTGGGCCGCAGGCTTTCATTCTAGGTCTCATCTCTGCCCCCACCCACAGAATGGCTGGAAACAGCCTCTGAAATGCACCAATCAATTATTTCTTGTAAGTAGGATCTTTGCCCTAATGGGGACGGAAGGGTGGGGGGTAAATGTAGGTCTTCCTTTTAAAAAAACTTTCAGTTAGCCAACACTGCACAAAGAAAATGAGCCTTGCATCTTAGAACAAGGGGTGGCAGAGTATTCTGCAATCACCTGAGAGAGGGAGGGAGGGTGTGTGTGTGTGTGTGTGTGTGTGTGTGTGTGTGTGTTGCTTTGCTTAACCCCTGCCTGAGTATAAAGAGCACACTTCCTTGCTTGTTCCTTGTGTCTCAGCAGCACAGGAATGAAGCCTCAAAAAAAGCACCTTCCTCCCTTAATCATTGGTCTTTCCTGACCTGCATGTTCTGGGTGGAGAATGGATGGTGGAAAGTAATGAAGGCTGTTGCTATGGAAGGTTTGGACTTTATTCCGCAGATAACCATGGCCACTGAAGGTGTTAGCCTGCTTTTTTCAACAGGAGGTCAAGATCCTGGCTGTAATTCCCTTTCACGGATCGGCCAGAGAGGCATAATGCAAAGTTAGGAGACAAAAAGGTTATTGACCAAGTCCAGATGAAAGAGAAAACAATAATCTTAACCATCTAGATAGACAAGCGCTGTCCAATGGAAATGTAGTGCAAGCCACATGTGTAATTTTAAGTGTTCTAGTAGCCAGATTTAAAAAGTAAAAAGAGGTAAAATTAAATTTAATAATGTTTCATCTAACCCCAACAATCCAAAATATTATTACAACAGGTAAAATATTAAACTTATGAATATGATATTTCATTTTGCCTTATTAATACAAGTCTTAGAAATTGGGTGTGTGGATAATTTGTGGCACACTCAATTCCAATGCTCACTTTTCAGTGTTTAAAGGGAAAAGTCAGTCTACCAAAACTAAATAAGTCATGTTTAAAAGTATTCCACACAGCTTCAGTTTTTAATATGAAATAAAACAAAATAAAAATTCAGTTCTTCAATCATAATAGCCATATTTCAAGTGTTTAAAAGCCACAGATAGCTACTGGCTACTGTTACCTCGACTGTAAATACTTTGCCCCGAAAACAAGGAAACCACTGGGTACTGCAGTTCTGGATGTCTTCACCAGGTGGCACTAAAGTGCACACCCTCACTCCCTCCAGATCGGCGTCCGACCCCGGAAGTTAAATATCACTGTTCTATCTAGTTCCTCCAGCCTTCTTCACGCCTCCGATACACTTAGCCTTAGTCTCCAGTCCTGAAGTGTGGGCAGAATGTGCCGGAGAGCAGAATAGCGGTGTCTGCCGACCAAGTGAAAAGCCGCAAGCAGTTCCCGGTGCGGGCTCGTGCGGCACAGCGGAGCTGCGCGCGCAGCCCCCGATCGCACAGGTCCCGGCCCGGACGGGTGCAGACCGCAGAGAGCGCGGCTACCGTCATCGCGTTGTCTTCTCCAGAGTCGCCAAGGCCGGGCCTGAACTCGCACCGACGGGCCCCTGAGCCCAGTACACTCCACAGGTCTCCGCCAATGATTCAGAATTCAAGTCCGGCGCTGCTGCAACCTCAAGATGTCGGAGACAGGATGGAAACGCTTATGGTAAACTGGGGGAAAGAGCTGGCAGGGGTTTCAGGACTCCCGGCTCGGGGAAGTTGCCAAGGGTCAGGGGCCCTCGTGGAGCCTTTCCCTCGCCGGAGATGCGCGCAGATTTGGAGACTTGATGAGGAAGGAGGCTGAGGGGATTGCAGCCCATCGTTTGGGGCATACAAACAAATGTCGCGCTGCTGCAGTGGTACCTGGGTAGAGATGAGCGGAATTGACGGGGCCTTGGGGGATTTCGGGGGAATGCTCCCTTGAGGTCCCGAACTTCGACCTCTGCGAAACTTTGCTTAGGGTTGGATGCCTGATTGACAGGTGGGAGGACATCCGGGCAGATAGTTGGGCCATCTCGGATGGCCCAGTAATAGCGCCTAACTGGAGACGTTGGGATTGCTGCGGATGGGGAGAGGGGGCACCTTTGGAATTTCAGTCCCCAGCCGGCCGGGAAAGCTACGGTTAGCGGGCCCCGAGTGCGAGCAATCAGGGTGCCGCGAGGCCACGCCCCTAGGCGTCCGGGTTGGCTGCGGAGGTCGGGCCGCCGGGCCGCCATTGGTGGAGGTGAAGAAGGTGCTGGCAGGTGCGCCTCTGGGGCTGTTGGGCCGAATTGCTGCTGGTGGTAGGTGGAGCACGGATTACTGGGAGGAACCGGGAGTCTAGCGAGCTTTGGACTTCTGTTTCTTTTTCTGAGATACGGTACCCCTAACTGGCCTGGTTTGGCAAAGAGAGGCAGGACGGCGTGTGTGTGTTTGTCAGTGTTTCAAAGGGACTTTGAGATTTAACAGTAGAATTCTTCCATTACTGTAAACCTGTATAACTTTTGAATAAATAGTTTCTTTCCTTTTTACCAAACTCTGGCCTTGAGAGCCACAACTCCTACTGGTGGTAGAATCACAGTAAAAGGGGGGCGGGGGAAAAGACGCCAGGGCAGGGGGGTTAGTTTCTGTAACACTGCCAGCGGCGGGTCCTGCAGATCTGGCCGGTTAGAATAAACTTGGTCTATGACTTCCAAGCACTCATGCTGGAGGGCTGAGTCTCCCTCATTTCTGGGAGGTATGTGGTAGGTGGCAAGATGACACTTGGATTTTCCAGCAGAATGGCCTGGTATTTCCCCATGTGCCTTGTTTTCAGCCAATACCCTCCTTTTTGTTCCAGTAGAGTCAGGGCCTGGTGTGGTACCATTGCTGTAGTGGGCTGTCCCAAGGTAAACTTATCAGAGTCTGGGTTAGGACTCCCAGTCCAGTCCCCTGCCTTTCAGGAACATAAAATTTGAAAGGCTTCTGTAAATTGGGCAGTTCTAGTGCAGGAGCCAATTTTCCTTCAAGGCATCAAATGCTACCGGACAATGCCCTGTCCATTCAAGGGGCTCCGAGTCCAGTCCTTTTAAGGAATTGTACGGTGGTCTTGCTATGAGTCCAAAGTTTGGAATCCAAATCCAACAAAACCCTGTAATTCCTAGGAACCCATGAAGCTGCTTTCGGTTTTCTGGGAGTTTTAATGCAGCAATGGCTTGCTTTCTGTCTGCCAGCAGACTCCTGGTGCCCTGTATCAGTTGAAATCCCAGATACACCACTTCCTGTTTGCCATTCTGGGTCTTATTAGGTAACACCTTCTATCCCGTTTTTGCTAAATGATTCAGGACTGTGATGGTATTGTGCAGTTTTCATAGTTGCTGCTAATAGAGGCTATTAATAGGTCATCTACATATTGCAAACGAACTCCTGATTTCAACTGAACTTTCCTTGAGTCTTTTCCCAGCACTTTCCTGAATAGAGTTGGGGTCCTTAAATCCTTGTGGCAGCACGGCCCAGCGGTGTTGGAGTGTGGCTTTAGTTCCTGGGTTCTGCCGTTCAAAGGCAAACAGTAGCTGAGCCTGCTTGTCTCTTGGGATGCAGACAAAGGCATCCTTCAAGTCCAAGACTGAAAACCATTTGCTCTCCCCAGGCACCATGGTCAACAGGGTGTAGGGATTGGGCCCTGTAGGGTGAATGTTTGAACAATGTCATTAGGGCCCTAAGATCCTGTACGAACCAATATTCATCAGAGTGCGGCTTTTTGACTGGCAGAATGGGAGTGTTGTAGGGTGACTGGCATGGCCGAATTAATCCTGACTTTTAAAAATTTTTGCAACATTGGCTGGATTCCCTCCTTCTTGAGGGGGTACTGCTTCTTTCCTGGGACCCGTGCCCCATTGGCTTTTATGGGTTGCACATCAACCACTTTACCTGGTGTTCCATCAGCTCAGACAGTTCAATCAACCTGTTCGCAGACCTCAGGTGGGAAGGGTTCACCTCCGGGACCTTCCCGACAGATCAGGAATACCTGTAGCAGGAGGGCATGTTCCAGCGGGATGTCCGCACATACCTGCTGTTTCTCTGGAGAAAAGGTTATTTGTACATGCAGTTTACAAAGTAAATCTCAGCTCAATAATGGAATGGGACAGTCTGCCATGTACAGAAAACTATGCAGAAGCTTTTGATCCCCACGCTGGCCTTCCAGAGGTTGCAGCAATGCCTGTTTTTGTTGTAACTGTCCAGTCACTCCAGTAACTGTTACTTCATTTGAACTTTTTTTGGTTAGTTATGTGCTCAATACTGAGTATGTAACTCCCACATCTACAAGGAAATCCATTGGCTTGTGCCCCACAGTCAGTTGTACCCCAGGGCTCCTGGGGGGAAACAGCAATAGGTCGGGAGGTGTCCAGCGGAGCCCTGGGTCTCCTCCTTCCTCATCATCCTCCCTTCTCCTTGGTAGCCTTGTTCCGGGAGGGTTCCCATCCCTGTCTTTTCCCTTTTGCGGTTTGCGCACTCTTTCCTCCAGTGACCCTTCTCCTTGCAATAGGCACATTGATTGATGCCAATAGAGCCTTTTCCTTCCCTCTTTAGGGCTCTCCTTGCAACAGGCAATTGGTGAGCACCTAATGAGTCTCTCTCCTTTACGTTAGGGTCCTGCCTCTTCTTTTGGCCTCCCCCTGCTTCTAAAAACCTCGAGGCCTGTTTTGTCTTCCCTATTTCCTGGGCATTGTAAGCTTTAAATACTGTGTCCACCAGCCGAGAGGGACCCGTTCCCAATACCCCATCTACATGCTGGAATGTCCTTCTAATACCCGGGGCACTCTGCCCAATAAAAGTCATGTTTATCATTCTCACGTTTTCGGGTACCTTTGGGTCAGCATCGGTGTGCTTCCTATAAGCCTGATAGATCCTCTAAAAATATAGAAGGATCCTCATCTGGCCTTTGCTGAAGAGTCTGCATGAAATTCAGGCTCCTCTGTGTGGGTGCTCCTTTTCTAAGCCCTTCCATTACACTCCTTCTGTAATGTTTCAGAGAGGCTGGGCCCCCACTATTATTTGGGTCCCTGCTAGGGTCCACCACAGGAATCGTGGAGACGGTGGGTCTCTCCTTTGCCTTATTTATAGTCAGCTTCTTTTCATCTGTAATCAGAAAAATATTTAGCAGAGCCTGTACTCTGCCCAGGTTGGAAGATAAGTGGCAGAAATGGAGGTGACAAGATCTGACATTCTCTGAAGACCCTCCCTATGGGAGGCTTGGAGCCCCTCCGGTTCAGTAAGTCTGAAGTGGAGAATGGAGCGTGGGCCGAGGTGCAGCCAGCGCGCTGGCCTCCCTGACGGACCCCGCCTGTAGGATATCGTCTCAGAGGGAACTGGCGTGCTCTGAGTCGGGAGACCGCCTGGTTGTACCGGGTGCCCTGCCGGGCCAAACCCACTCTACATCCTGCAGGGGTGGAGCCATTGGCTTGTGGTCTCCCCTTCAGGCGCAGTTCCCCAAAGAGGTTGTGGCAAGGGAGCGTGTCCTGCCTCCGAGCCTCCTTCCCTGGGTGCAGAGCGTTAATGAGGTTTATTTCCTAATTATTCCTTTCTTCTTGCGTTTTACTATCAGGGAGGGGTTTTGAGGCCGCCTTCCTTTTCTGTACCATCAAGCGATTCTCTGTCTCTGGCAAACATGCAATTATGCAACGATATAAATGCATTGAGATAGCGGATTTCCTCCCAGTTTTCAGACTGTTGGTAATGCTGTTTCAATTGCTTAAATGATGCAGTAGCTCAGAGAACCACCCACTTTCCCTCACCATTCAAAACATAATTAGGCCAAACAGTGTTACAGCAATATGTCCCTTATGTCCCTTAGACATGAGATTCTTAGACTTTGGATTCTGGCAGTAAATCTTCCAATCCTCAAAAATTCTACCAGCGGGCTCCCCCTAGGGGCCGGCCCAGAACTGCTCTTATTGTTCAGGCAGCACATGCAAAAAACCGTAACAAGGAAAATACAGACCAGATGGAGGCCACATATACCTCAACCGGTTGTTTACAGCCCCAATACCATTATTCCAAAACAGTGCTCAGAAACAAATTTTCAACCAAACAACCTCCCTTCTCCATCCCTTCCCAGGTCAGTGATCCGTTTCCTTCTCACCTTCCGGGTGTGACTTGGCGGCCGATGCCCTCTGGTGGCGTGCAGAGGAATTCTCAGGGACTGGGGAACTCCGCACTCCCACCCTCCCACTCCGAGGGGGCCAGCCTGCAGGGCGGTTCTCAGCCGGGGGCGTTGGGCGCCCAGCGCTGTAACGCTGAGCCAATCCAGCAACGCACAGCCTTTTGGTGTGGGGGACAGTGCTCCGGGCAACGGAGCCACCTGGCCAGGACACAGTTTCGTTTTTTGAAAGGGATGTAGAAATTGCTTGGGGAACCGGTTTGCTGACTATTTAAGGGCTACTTACTGTTTTTATGTTCCCGTGTAGTATTGTTTGATTCTTTTTGCCCTAGCCACCTCTCCGAAAAATGGATTACTCATTTTATTTACCTTGAATAACTTCAGTTTATTTAGAAAAAGATCAACTATGTCTTCAAAGGATGTGACATTCACCACTGATAATATTTTAAGGCTATTCAAAATGAAAAGTGTAATTTTAAGACAATTATACAACTTCGTATTTTTAACAATTAGAGGTTAATCTGTACAGCTAGTTGTGGATTTTAAAA